ATAACATAACATAACATAACATAACATAACATAACATAACATAACATAACATAACATAACATAACATAACATAACATAACATAACATAACATAACATAACATAACATAACATATAACATAAAATAGAGTGTTCTAACCTCTGGGCATCAGGAAAGACCTGCTCACACTCCTTACTCTCCTGTGGGGAGCGGGGTAAGTTCAGGGGGTGAGTGTGTAAGTGCAGCAGATCAAGATCAGGATCGTCTGCAGTGCTGGGCAGACCCTGCTTAGACAGCTTGAAGCCGGAGGAAGGCGGGGTACCGCAGGCATGCTTCTGATGGTCCAGCAGCTCTGAACCAGACTCAAAGTTCAGGTCACAGTCCTCACAACGGTATTGACGCTCCTCTGCAGGACAACAGAATGAGTGAGATAGCAAGCGAGCGAGTTTGTGTGTGTGTTTATGTGTGTATGAGTGCTAACTCACCGTGTATGTCTGGAGCCATGGTCTCACATGAAAATTCCTCAGCCTTCATGAACAGTAAGAGTTCCTCACCCGGCTGGACCTCTCGGACCACACGGTAAAAGATCTAGAGAGAGAGAGAGACAGATGTTTAACATGGGACAGAATACTGATACACTACTGTTTAATGTTTTTTTTTTTTTTTTTAAAGAAAAGATGCATCAACATCTTGCTCTGAAAAAAGTGACTGAAGCACCTGACATCGTAATTACAACTTCCTAACTTGCAAATACGAGGACTTGAACACACCATAAGACAAAGAAAGATATGTATTAAGAAAATAAATAGGGTCTATTTTGATTTCTGAAGCATGTTTGCACATCTTCACCTGCTGTGATAGCTGATGACATGTCACACTTTCCACTGGACGGGACTAGCTGTGCCGACTTGATTCTTCGTTTTGGTACATTCTAATAAGAATAAAAACCAAACGTTGCCAAGATTCATTGAGTAAACAGCTTGTGCTTTAACAGAACAATGTGTTCTTTGGCCCAAATCACCAGGCATGAAAGTTACCTTACAAAGGGGTGCTGGTGAACTCTGACACTCTGCTGGCATGACTGCACCAGCGCATACCCATGGTTCCTGGTGCAGGGAAGCTGCTGTAGGGTTGCTGGGTGTGATATCACCCAATTCAGGGAAATCGGCAAGTTTCATTTCAAATGTGCTGCTACATGTAATGGCTGATTTGGCTCTCTCTGCGGGGTTTGGGGAAGGTTTGGTCCCTCTGTCACCTAGAAGCAGAACCAAATCTTCCAATTACAATTTAATCAGGAAATTATTATTAGAAGTCTTCTTAAAAGGAATAAACACCTCTGTCTTTTGATCTCCTGCTGATTCTTTTGTCCTGAGAGGAAGGCTCAGCTCTGTTGTCTTTTAATAACTAAAAGATTGAAAAACTTTATTAGGCTTTCAAAAGTGCAACAGTAATAAAGATTGAAATCATTCAAATGGCCATACTAGGATCAGACCTTTCCAGTTTGCTTGTTTGAATCATCATTTAGACCACTGCGGGCTTTGAGATCAGCGCACTTGTTGGTGTGAGAGCTGCTGTTGTAGATGTTTGTCCTTTGTGCCACGTCATACTGATTGTCTACTGATCTCTGCCTCCTCTTGAACCAGTCCTCGGGTGACGACTGGCATGTCTTGTTTTTATATGGAGCTCTGTGTACAATAAAGTCTAAAGTTAAAAACTGAAAATCATAAGACGAGTCAAAACTAGCACAGATTTCGTTAGTTCTCCAATGCAATGTGATGTACAGCGGCCCGAAAAAGCAGTTGGACAATTAAAAGCAATTAACAACAATTAAAAGCAACTGATATACTGTTCAAAATGAATACAAGAATTGTTACACTTTCTTGCCGTCAAATGTTAGCGG